AAGGATAACACTGGGGACCCAACACTGTGGCCTCTCATATGAAATCCTACCAAGGTGCTTCCATCTTACCTGCATAGGGGATTTGGCATAATTGTGATTGTCTAGAAAGGCTGGTAGCCTTTGGACAATAGGGGTAGGATTTGGGGGAACCCCATTGAGGCTCCCTGGAGGCTTCACAACCAGCTTAGATTTGCTGGGAGGACTGTGGGTCGAAGCTTGTGGACACGAACCAGCCACTTCCTCTGCACCATCTAAGACAAGCAGAATATAGATAGGACAGTTGGATCCTTAAGAAAAGCCTACAGTCTCCCCAATCCTGTGACAGTTGTTTCCCCAGTGAAGGCAGCTATCAAGATTGGCCAGTAAGCTCTAAGTCACAGTTCCACTATGAGATGGGGAAAACAAGAAGAAAGGCATATTACAGAGAAAATAATGGGGGCAGGGGCAGTACAGAGGGGCAGGGTCTAAGGGCATGACAGTCCCTTAAAGGTGTCCTTTAGGAAAAGCTCACTCTACTCTCCCTTGGTGTTCTGAGGGGAAAGCTCAGGTGCTGGGATTTTAGACCTCCTGCTGAATCCCCTGCACTACTGCCCAAGTACCTTCTTGAAGTGTGTGGGCCCTCCCATATCCAGCTGTCCTAGATGGCTGATGCCCAAGTCCCTCAAGTACCTGTGTGAGTGCACTCAGAGGCCACTGGGGTCCTGCTTGCCTCCAGTCCGAGGGGGGACTTGCTGCTTGCTGGCTTGGTCTCCTCAGGCAGTTGTGACTCTTGAGATTTGTGGGTCTGAATCAGCTCCGGCTGTGTTACTCTAATCAGCTTAAAACAGAACTCAAAGCTTAGCAGAAAAGGGGTAGAGCAGGACTCCATGTCAAGGGCCTTGACCTACTCATTCATTTATTTACTGGAAGATAAAAAGGCCAAGCCACAACTTTTCTTTAGAAGCTTCCCACCCTAAGTTTTGCCACCCCTACAAAGGAAGCAAAGGAAAGAAATGGTCAGTTAAATCTGGATCTACAAGACACAATGGTTTTGGAATTAGAGACAGATGTTACAATGTGGGAAAGGCAGGGATCGTTGGGTTGGCATGGCCAGAGGCCCACTTACCTGCTGCAGGGCCTCCAGGACTGTTTGTCGGTTCACCTTCAATACATGTAGCCTGGCCTCATACTTGATCCTTCGGTCAGGCACCACAGCCATCAGGTTGAAGCGGATGTCATGGTACGGTTCCCTGCAGTTACAGTGACAGCCTTCAGAGCAGTTCCCACCCCAGCCCTGCTGTCAGACTGAGGAAAGTATCTTGTAGCTATAAGTATAGGCCCCACTCCAATAGACAGACAGCAGTCAGCCACATATCCAGAAACCTGAGCTGTACCTTTCCATGTGAGGGGCCTGTCAGGAAATGAGTCAGCACACCTGTGCCACCCAGGCCTCTCTGCTACCCAAAGGCTTGGCCCTCCTCTAGCCCAGCCCAGAGCAGGCCACAGGCAGTCCAGGCAGAAAGGCAAGAAATTGGAAGCCCAAGACCCAAGCCTGATCTTGCCAGATACACAATGTGCCTTACAATTTACAGATCATCTGGTTTATCTCTTTCCCTCCCAAACGGGACAGTTCAGACAAATACAACAGGCAAACTGAGGGTCCTTACCCTGCCGTAGCAAGGCCGATTCGTTCCATGATAACCCGTCGGGCTTTATCTGTCCACTCCTCATCCTCTCCCCAGGGCCCTGAGGGAGAACAAGATGAGGAATCAGAAGGTGGGAAACCCTGAGATGGCGTAGCCAGGGATAAGAAGGAAAATAGATTAATGTGGTTGAGCCAGGTATGAGCTGATCACATAACTCGGTACAAGATGAAATCATGGCCAGAGTTAGATGTCTTTGGTACCCACCCATTTCGTGCTACCGAGTCCCAAGAACCAAAGGCCCTGAGACCCAGATAACCAGAAGGAAGCATGACAAATCCAGCAGACCCCTTCCTCAGGATGCCTACCATGATCAATAGGGTAGACTTTCAAACCGTCCAACTCAAAGAGCCGCCCTGTGATAGGCACATAGCTGACAAAGTGGAATGCCTCCATGGTCCGCACTGCACTGAGGCCATTCTGCTTCTCAGGAAGGTGACGTGGTTCTGGCCTGGGAAGGGACAAAGTCAGAGCCATCCTCCACTACCCCTACCCCATATCAGCAAGCACAGCTCTCACCTACCTGGCATGGCTATTATGTGCCTTGGCCAGCTCAGGAGCATTGCCAATTGCATATCCTTTGCTCTAAGAAGAAAATAAGAACAGATTCTCAGGTGAGCTTCTAGGTAAGGGCAAAGTTCCAGAGAGCAGGCTTAAAGGCATTCCAGGAATCTCATCAGTACAGATAACTTTCCTAAAGGGCTAGTGGTGGCAGATGAAAGCATAAGACTCCCCCAAAGGGATGGGCCATACTGGCTTTGCACAGTATTTGGCTACCAGGGAACAACACAGCCTGCTACAAAAAGTCACAGGAGAAAAGGTTCTGACATAGGTGACTTAAATCTGTCCCTTCTCTACTTCGATCATCTCCCTTCCTAACAATGAAGTCAACCACCATCCACATTACTTATGAGTCAAACAGATGTTAATTATCATTTGAAAAAGAAATGGCCAAACAGTACCAAATATCATACGGTGGCATTGCCAATGGCTCTGAGGGTCAAGATGTACCCAGCTAGCTGTAAGCCATGAGTTAAGACACGACAGCATACCTCTGGACTGAAGCCTTTGGTGAAATCCTTCATTCGACTCAGGGTGGGCCCCAGATCCACATTGCTGCAGTTCAGAAGCACGCTCAGCAAGGCATGAGTAGCACAAGAGTTGGGAATCAGCTGTAAATCAAAATTAGTCATTCATACACCCCTCACACACCTTTTACCTCAAGCTTCCCCAAGCTTCACTGAGAAGACTGAAGAAAAGATGTCAACAACCCTCATCAGTTTCCTTTGTCTTGCTCAGTCTTTTGTTTGTTTGTTTTTTTGTTTTTTGAGACAGGGTTTCTCTGTGGCTTTGGAGGCTGTCCTGGAACTAGCTCTTATAGACCAGGCTCACAGATCTCTGCCTGCCTCTGCCTCCCAAGTACTGGGATTAAAGGCATGTGCCACCACCTCCCTGTCTTGCTCAGTCTTTACATAAAACACAGACCAACTAAGTACCACATATCTAGGGACATGGAGAATAACCTACAAAACCACTCTACTCTAAAGGTATACCTTTAATGAAAAAGAGCTAGGTTCTGTCTGCCATGTAACAACCACTCTTGGTTGGTATCAGTCTCTTTCTTCTTCCTGCTTCCCCCACTGTCACTTTTCATGCAAAACCAGTAACAACCAAAACCAAAAAATAGCATCCTGCACTTCAAACAAGCTCAGAAATCAGCAGACCTGGTGGGCAAAGAACATGTTATTCACAATATCATCATCAATCACCGATGTATCATCCACCAATGTAGAAACCTTGCGGCGGGACCTGCGTTCTTCAATCCATTTGAAGAGGAAGATAAATCCATATACAGGCCTAGAGAAGGAAGAGGTAGATGACAATAAGTGTCCCCTTCTTTCTCTCCCTTTTCCTTTGCACTAAGTGCTATTAATCTCAGCCCCTCACTCTTACCAATCCTAATGGCTCTGAGACCTCACACCCAGAAGCCTATCACAGACAGTCAAGTGTGGGCTTGATGCTCTGAAACACCACTCAGTGCCATAATGAAGTCTAGGCAAAAGGAGGAGGAAATCTGGAACTGGTGGCCCACAATGGAGCAAGGTGAAAACTCAAGGCACAAAAAACTTTGATGAGGAGCTCTCACTTATGGACCTTAGCCTCAAGCCCTAAAACTAGGGAAGCTCATGAACTCCTGAACCAGCCCCTTCATTTCTAGGAAATGCAAGCACACTTCTTGGATCATTACTGTTAGTTAGCAGGTTCCTCTGTTAGAAAGATCACCAAAGTGTTTAGGTACCTGAAAAGGGTCTTGTCACATCAACCAATCAATATACGACAACTGTTTAGTTTTGTTGAGACATGGTCATACTATGTAGCTTACACTGGCCTGCCTCTGTCTTCCAAGCCCTGGGATTAAAGGGATGCAACACCACTCCTGGTCAGGACAAATTCTGTGTGGTGATTAAAGCAAAGCACACGTGGTTATGTAATTAACGGATTGTTCACTTACAAAAAAGGCACTGTGCAACCAGAAGCTTCCTGCTACAAAACCAAAAACGGCAGCTGAACCGTACTCCAAGAGTGGTTAGGGTTAAAAGATGTGCTATTACTTCCTAAGGGGAAATGCTGAGGGAAGACTGGAAATAAAAAATAAATAATTCAAGGAGGGCACCCACACAGGGACATCTTATACAACTTTGTTTGTTTTCTAATACTGCCTCCCCTAAAGGAGTACTATTCCCCTGCCCTTTCCCAGCCCTCCGGAGGTAAGGGCCCAGCCACTCACCCCTGGCATTTACTCTGAAGATCATAGATCTCCTCCACTTGCACCCCTTTGACACCTATGATCAGGAAAGGAGAAATCGGCAGGGCAGCCCCAGATTCTGCAGCCAGACTCAGGAAGCACTCCCCCACATGCCCCCCAACAGCCAGGTCCCAATGATCAGGGGCGGCTCTTACCGAAATCTTCCACCAGGAGGGTGAAGAGGCCTGGGTGGGAGGACAAGAGGAGGAAGGATTGTCAGGCAGGAGTGTCCGGGGCCCATCCGGCCTCCCCAGCCCCCGGCCCGCCGGGGCCCCTCCGTACCCGGGTCACTCTCCAGCTCCAGCCAGCCCTTATTCATCTTCCCGCGGGGCGGCCCTCAGCGCCATGTCCAGGCCCTGCCAACCCCGCGCCGCTCCCAATGGGAGCGCCCACCGCGCTCGGGGTTTCTTAGTCCCACACAGACAACGGGCCGCGTCGCGTCACTAGCCCGCGCGGGAGTACGACGTCATCATTACGCGACGAGTCGAGCCCGGAGCCGGCCTTCCGCCCAAAGAGCATGCGAGCATGCGCATGCGCCGAGGACGGGATGGGCGCGCGACGGTTAGCGCGCGGCCGTTAGCGGTCCTCGTTTTGACAACTGTCTGAGGTCTGCATGGGCCATATAGTCCGCGTGACCCAGCCCCCGTTAGCGCGCTCGCCTCCTTCGTCGGCGCAGTCACCGCGCGGGGCGGCCGCCCCTGAAGTAGCTACCACGGCTTGTGTCAACGAATAAAGCTCCCGGACAGCGTCGCCTTCGGCGACAGCTGGGTGGGCAGTGGGAGCGGTGACTCGTAGTTTCCGTGAGGAGCGAGAGGGCGAAGCAAACTCCAGCCTGGCCCCTGCACCAGCTGCCCAGCAGGCGTGACCTGAGCCTAGTCTGGCATACGCGGAATGCTCCTTGAGCCCCACCTGTGGCAGTTACCTTCGGAGGACCGTTGTGGCCTCACCAACAAGTATTTTCCAAATAAATCGTTTGTTCTTGCGGCGGCGGGGCCGAACACGTTACTATATTTTTAATTTTCTCAGCAAACATTCACCCAACACTTTTATACGGTAAAACAACTTGGTAAGCATTTTGAGCGAGCATCCGCCGGTTTAAGAAGTCACGGACTGAGCAGCTTACTTTTGCCACGTCTGTCCTCAACTGTTTTGAAGATTGTCCCACCTTATAACAACCAGTGTGCACAGACTACTACTCAAGGAACGTCGTGGTCCAGCGATGCAAAGGACTGAAGTCTCAAGGTTTATTACTATTCTAACACGGTTGGGTTTAGTGCCAACAACTCTGAAGTGATTAAAGTAGATCTCATAGGGAAATGGCAAGGTTAGAGCCACCTCACTCCAGCCTGTCCACATTTAGTAAGAGACCAAACCAATTCTGGAACAGTATCTCCTGTGTTGGGAAAACAACCTGAAATTTCCATGGCTTTTAACAGCATTTATGTAGACTAGTTAGACGTTCATGAAGATATTCGTAATGCCCAGGCTTGATCTGAGGCTCTGGGTACTGAAGTGTATGTCTCTGGAGTGACCTAATTCACTGAGCTCTCTTAAGAAACGTTAACCTCCTTTGTCTTACTAGACATAGCCCTTCATGGGGCCACCCCACCACCGACACCCCACCCCCCCCTTAAACCTCAGTTCACTTCCGAAGACTTTGTAATGGTCAATGAAACCTGGGTATCTTTGTAATCTGCTTACATTGGTAGCAGGAGTGGCATTTTACTTAGTTTACATCTAGACAGTCATGAGACAGACCAAATCTCAATGGCCATCTGAACCTGGTTAAAAGGATAAGAGCTAAGGGGATGATCTTCATTGTTATTTCTCCCTCAACTAGATGGAGTTATGGCTTTTAAGCTACCAAATTTCTCAGTAACTAGGAAAGAGCTACCTTACCTAGTTGGGTAGAAAAGACACCCACACTTAAGGTCCATTTTTCTTGAGTATTGTCCCATGCACTTAGTAAAAGCCATTTAAATAGGTCAGTCAATGGTTCCAACATCTTACACTGCAGTGTTATGACATTCTAACGTGGGAATTGACGTTAGCTTCTGTTAGCTTCAAGTCTCACCTTGGATCACTGATTCTGACATTGACTAAGGTGTTTATCTTTCTGTGCTTCAGTCTCCTCAACTTGAAAATAAGGGTGATAATTGTGCCTAAGTATGTGATAAGTGCCTAGAATAGTTCTTGGCATAATTTAATCATTATTGGCCATTGCTGGCATGAATATTGGAGATACCCCTTTTTTGAGTGAATTGAGAAGTACACTTTGATCTTGTAGAATTTGATAACCAAACGTAAAATTAAATTGCTAATCTACCTTGTTTATGTTTATAGCTGGAAAAGCCTGTGTTATCTTCATAATAGTACGAAAGAATTCTAGATAGGAAGGAAAGAAGGAAGCGAATGAAGACTATAAAAGAAAAGAAGAAACTTCCAAGATTGAGGTAGAGTAGGTGACCTGAAGGAGTTGGGGAAAATTACCATGGCCATTGATACATGTTGCATTTTCTGCTCCCTTTGGCATATTCTCAGGGGCTATGGTTCGACAGTGTCAGAGCATACAACAACACCCACCACCACCCTGAAAGACCTCCTTGTCTTCCCAGTGCTGTCCCCAGTGGCAAAGTGACAACTGTGGGACTTTACTACTTAAATCTCTAACACGCCTATGCTGCTTGATAACTGCAAGACCTGAGACAAATCATTTATGCCTCAATTTACTCGTCTCAGAATATGCATTACAATAGTACTCCCTTTGTAGAATGTTCTGCAGATATGTTGAACTAATTCATGATAAAGTACCAAAAATAGTGCCTAGAACTGGGAAACAATCAACTTTGATTCATTTGGTGTACTTGGGGTAATTGGCAGAAGAAAGTAAAAGGAGGGTTACTCTTTACTTCACTCAACCCAGGCAGCATAGGCACTTAGATGATCCTATCTTCAAATAACTTAGTACATTTTATACTTTAAAATGGAAATATGAAAAGCCCTTAGAGAATTTGGTCCTTAATCAGATTATGAGTGACATTTTAAGGGAAATTGAGAAGGCTTGTCAGTAGTATCCTCACATTTTTTTTCTCTTATATAGAAAAACTTCCAGGACTAAGAAGGTAATCCAGAAGAAGCTATCATCTTCAGGGCCTGGTAAGAGAGATGAAGTGATATTCAGTTGCTGCTTCAAGCCATTAGCAAAGAAGGCCACTCCAATGGGACAGTAAACTTGCTTCTTTCATTGTCAACTCCTACTTCTTTCCCAGATACTCTTAAGATTAAGATCCTAAAGAATTCAGTGTCTGTAGTTTAAAGTTTCATATCTGAAGTTCAAGAAAGAATTTAATTTCCGGATAGTGGTGGCGCACGCCTTTAATCCCAGCACTCAGGAGGCAGAGGCAGGTGGATCTCTATGAGTTCGAGACTGGCCTGGTCTACAAGAGCTTGTTCCAGGACAGCCTCTCTATCTCAAAAAAAAAATAAACAAAAAAAAGAAAGAATTTAATTAAAACCACTTGAGAACAAAACAGTCTGACATTAGTTAGTCGACACCTACCTATGCCATTGTGACAAAAATTATATCAAGGCCTGATACCCAAGAAGAGTTAACCTTTATCCTTGCCAAAATTACCCTGCTTCTGGTAAAGATGCTTCCTGACCACAAAGCTTTAACTTTTGTTTGTTTTACATTAAGGTGATGCAAGAGTGACATGCATCAATAGAAACCATACTTCATATTTGGGGTTTTGGTCTTTACCCAAGCTAATGATATATAGTACAATATTCTCTTGCAGTGCTGCCAGTAGTAAGCCACACAAACAACCAACTATCTGTAGTATACTGTGCTGCTAAAAACAACCAACTATCTGTAGTATACTGTGCTGCTAAGCTGTAGTGTTCGATAGGCTACATGAAGTAATTGTACCTCCTACTTAGGATGTTTTCATTTGTGGAGGCTTTATCTAGATAAAACCCCTAGGTAAGTAAAGGAGCCTCTAGACTCTTTGCTGTTCTTAGATGGTTAGCCCACTTCTCTATTCTTAATGATCAACAGGAGCCAAGCCTTTATTCTTTATGTTCACTCTTTCAGTTTGCCTGCTCTGCCTTCAAGAACCTGGTGATCCTGAAAAACTAGGAGAATTTCTTCAGAAAGAAAGTCTCTGTGTGCACTATTTCTGTCTTGTGAGTATAAGGTCCTCTCTGCTCTACATGTCTAACAGCTTTTGCTGAAAAGGCACTTACTTCTGCATCTAGACTCAAATTTACAGCTGTTTGGTTTTCCTTACAGTTTTTAATCTTTGAAATCTACTTTTTAAGTAATAAATGACATGATCTAAAATCCTGACAGTATAAAGCATAAAAACCCTCTCCCCTAAATCATATTCCTTCTTTCTCCCTGCCTCCCAGAAACAAATGCTCACTTAGATTGTTTTTCCACTTAATTTTCCCCAATATGATTTTTTAATAAATATAATATGAATACTGTAAAATGAACCAACTTAAGTGTACAGTTGGACGAGTTTTTTAAAGATTTATTTATTTTATTCTATGTATTTTACATATATATAATCTGTGTGCCACATATGTGTAGTGCCCTCAGAGGCCAAAAGAGAGCATCAGATTCCCTAGGAGTGAGGTTAGAGGCAATTGTGAGGTGCTGTGTGAATGGATAACTAGGATTCAAGCCCTGGTCCTGCCCTAGAGCAGCCAATGCTCTCTTAACCTCTGAGCCATATCCCCAGCCCTTGATTTTTGATAAATTGTATCACCATGTGATCACCATCCACATAAAAATAAACAAATCTTCAGTCATCTCAGAAAATTCACCTCATGTCCACTTGTAGTCAATACCACCAGAGATAGTCACTAGAAGGACCAGTAGATTAATTTTAGATATTGTTTTACTTTTATTTTGTTTATATTCTTTCTGTTAGGTCCCAACCCCCAAACTGACAGGCTGGGCCCAGCTCAGACTGGACTCTGACCAGATAAATGGAAGGATTGTTACTTAAAACCCAAATTCCTCAGAAAGCTTGTAAACCTTGTAAAGTGGGTTTCTGTCTGTCAAGAAAAGCCATTACTTCCCTTATCTGCACGCCCCCACACACACACACACACCAGCTGCCTACCTCCAGAAAGGGCATCTAGTTCCCTATTAACTGGAGCAAGCCTCCAACAGATCAAAGCCCCATGCTAGTTTCCAGGTTGCTCCAGCTAACTCACCTTCCTCTTGACAAAACACAGCTCCTTATGACTGGCTATCCTCTGTCTATCACATGAGAGATGGCCATGCAGCAGTTTCATATTTCCAATAAACCTTTCTTCTGGTGGTTTCACTGTACCCTGGTGCAGAAACAAGGGAAGAATCATTGAGCCCCACCCTAAAGGGGCTCTGCCTCTTGTAACCAAACTATTGATTTGGCCCTCCTGGGTGCAAACCATTTGCTTTTCTCTGACTCCTGACACTTACTATATTTGACTACAAAATTTGTAGAGTCTGCCTCTCCAGCCATTCTTCTCCTCCACCTATTCTGTTAACTTATCTTTCAGGTCAGTGTCCTCTCTGAGATGTGTGCTCTGTCTCTGTGTTTCTATAGCCCAGTACAAAAGTCACACTGGTATACCAGGCAAGCCTCCTTACACCCTCCTTGCTCTTCATCAGTGTGGACAAGGGACACCTGTCCATTGATCCTGGGCATCTCTCTGACTAGTCTTGGTCTCCTGAGGATGCCTTCACATTGAGATCCTGTCTGTCCTAAGGCACTTAGCCCTTCCCTCCCTTCCTATGCTATTGGAATCCTCCCTCTGGCGAAATTGCTCCTCCTCCTGCCCCTGTAAATTCTTTGCTGCCACACTTTTAAGGATGTCTCCCTTCCTACTTGGTCTTTCTCCCTGTCTTTAGTTTGCCTGCCAGAGCCTAAAGTAATCATGCACTTTTATTAGACTGATCAGCTCCTTTCCTGCCTCCTCTGCCCTCCTGCCCTCCTCAGACTCAGATTCCATTACCCCTGGCTTACTGCTGCTGAAATGATGTTCCCAACGGTGCTTGAGTGTGTTAAAGTTATCTTGTCAACAGTTGGTAGACATTTGATTTGTTTTACTTTAGTGGACTTTTGTGAATAAAGCTGCTAAGAACATTCATGTGCAAGTCTTTTTGTGACATGTGTTCTTCCTTCTCTTGGGCAGATGTCTAGGAGTGGGATTACTGATTACATGTAAATATACATGTGTGAAGTTGCCAAGTCATCTTTCCAAATTTATTGTACCAGTTTACACACCCATTAGCAATTTATGAGAGTTGAAGCTGACAATTTTTTTTACCAAAACGTGGTATTGTCAGTCTTTTTCACTTCAGCCTACCTACTGGAAGCTACTGGCATTTTACTGTTCTCTTAATTTGTACTTCTTTAAGGAATAAAGATGTTGAGCTTTTTGTATGCTTATTCATATATTTTCTTTTGAATCTATTTTAATATTTTTGTCCATTAAAAGAAACTGGATTATAAACTGGGCATGGTGGCACACACATTTAATCCCAGCACTTGGGTGGCAGAGGCAGTGAATCTCTAAGTTCAAGGCCAGCCTAGTCTACATCGTGAGATCCAGGACAGCTACACAAAGAAACCCTATCTCAAAAGGAGGAGGAAGTGGAAGAAGAAGAAGAAGAAGAAGAAGAAGAAGAAGAGGAGGAGGAGGAGGAGGAGGAAGAGGAGGAGGAGGAGGAGGAGGAGGAGGAAGAGAAACTGGATTCTTTTGTCTTGCTGGATTGTAAGAATTACTTATATATTCTGGATACAAATCCTTTTTCATATACATATATATTATTTCTAATAGTGTCTTTTGACATTTTTTAAAAATTTTTATGTTGTATTTATCAATTTTTCTTTTATGGTTAGCACTTTTTGTGTGTCCTAAGTGGTACTTAAATACCACTAAAGTACCTAGATGTCTTTATCAAAATCAATTGGCCATATATGTATTTGTGAATCTGGATAATCTATTTATACTATTAGTCTATATGTGTCTATTCATATACTAGTACTCCACTGTCTTAATTCTTGTGGTTTTATAGTGTCTTAAAATTAAATACAGTAAATTTTACAGTCTTTTGGGTATCAATTCCTTTCGTTTTTGTTTCTGTTTTTCAAGATGGGGTTTCTCTGTATAGCCCTGACTGTCCTGAACTGTCTCGTAGACCAGGCTGGCCTCAAACTCAGAGATCCTCCTGCCTCTGCCTCCTGAGTACCAGAATTAAAGGCATGCCTCATCACCACCTGGCTCAAATCCTTTCTCTAGTTGGGTTTAGTTTTGTTTGTTTGTTTTACTCTTTGGGGGCCTGCCACCCAGCTCCCAAATAAATACACACTTATTCTTATGAATGTCCAGTCTTAGCTTGGTTTGTTTCTAGCCAGCTTTTCTAACTTAAATTATCCTGTTTCTCTTTAACTATGTTTTGTCTCTGGGCTTTTTACCTTTCTTTTTTTTCTTTTTTTCTTTTTTTGGTTTTTCAAGACAGGGTTTCTCTGTGTAGCTTTGGAGCCTATCCTGGCACTCATTCTGGAGACCAGGCTAGCCTCGAACTCACAGTGATCTGCCTGCCTCTGCCTCCCAAGTGCTGGTATTAAAGGTGTGCGCCACCAACGCCTGGCCTTTTTACCTTTCTTATTCTATATCTTTTTTTTACTTCTTACTCAGTGGCTGGCTGTGTGGCTGGCCCCTGGTGTCCTCCTCTCCTTTTCCTTTTCTCGCTCCTCAGCTCTTGAGCCTAGATTTCTCCTATTTATTCTCTCTGCCTGGCAGCGCCACCTGTTTCTCTCATCTACATAACTATTGACTGTTCAGTTCTTTATTAGTTCAATCAGGTGTTTTAGACAGGCAAAGTAACATAGCTCTACAAAGTTAAACAAATGCAACACATTTTTGCATCATTAAATAAATATCCTACATCATAACTAATAGACGACAACACCTTTCTTTTATTTTTTCCATAATGTTCTGCAGTCCTGTTGAAACGGTAGAATTGTGCATCTTTTGTTAAATGTTTTTCTAAATATTTTGTTGCTGAACTATAGAAATGTAATTATTTTGTATATTGATTTTGTATTATATAATTTTGTTAAATTCACTTACCAATTCAACAAAAATTTTGTTTATTTGGGATTCTCTGTTTCTCTGTATCTATAGTCAGTATTATATGTAAATGAAGACAGCTTCTTTTCCAAATTTTGTCCTTTTTTAAAAGATAGGTTCTCATGTAGCCCAGGACAGCCTTAAACTCATCCTGTAGCTTGAATATGATCTTGAATTTCCTTTTTTCTTGTGTGTTGTGGGGAGGGAGTGTATGTATGTACAGATTCATGTATGTGTGCATGTGTTTAGTTGTGTGCATACATGTATGCATGTGAAGATGAGGTTGACATCAGCTGTCCTCTATCTCTGTCCATCTTATTTTTTCAGACAGGATACTGGAGCACACCAATCTGGCGGAATATCTGACCATCAAGCTCCAGGGATCCTTCTGTCTCTGCCTCCTTACTGATAGGATTACAAGCACACGTGACCAGCCCCAGCATTTTACATCCCTGATGAGGTTCTGAACTTAGGTCTTCATGCTTGTGCATGGCTTTACTGACTAAGCCATCTCTCTTCCAACTCCCCTGCCTCTAACTCTCAAGTGTTGAGATTACAGGCATTTGCCACATGCTCAGTTTGTTTGTTTGGAAAACCATTTTATATGTATGTATGTTTTGCCTACATGAGCATGCCTGGTGCTCAAGGAGGTCAGAAGAGTGGGTTGGATCCCCTGGAACTAGAGTTATAAAAGGTTGTAAGCCACTATGTGGATACTGGGAACTGAGCCTTTGTCTTCTGCAAAAGCAACATGTGCTTTTAACAGCTGAACCATTTCTCCAGCTCCCATGGCCAGTTTTTAATGTTGTGGTAAGGAGTGAACCTAGGACCCTACTACTTTTTAGGCAACTACTCTACTGACTGAGCTACATCTCCAGCCCCAAGTTTTGTCTTATTTCTTCTTGCCTTTTTAACTGGCTAGAGTCTTCAACCTAATATTCAGTAGAAGTAGTATAAATAGTTAGCCATGCCTTTCTCCCAGCATTAGGAATTATAATATAGAAATTATAGGAATTATAATTATAGAAATAGCATCTAGTTTTTCATCATTAGAAATACATTAACTTTAAACTTTTTTCATAGATGTTTTGTCAGATTGAAATTCTCTTATTCCTAGTTTGCTGAGGATATCACAAGTGTGTATTGAGTTTTGAGAATATTTTTGGCATCTACTGACATGATCTTGATTTTTCTCTTTTTATGGTTATACCAACTAGATTATCTGATGTTAAACTAATCTTGCATTCTTAGTACAGGCTCTTCTTGGTCATGCTGTATTATTCTTTGAATATGGGCTGAATTCAACTTACTAATCTTTTCAGTTTTTTATATCTATCCTCATGAGAAAAATTAACCTGTGATTTTCCTTTCTTGTAAATCCTGCTAGGTGTTAGGGCTTGGTTAACTCTGGTGCATATACATTTTAACATAAAATTAAACATATACAATGTTTTGTAGGGTTTTCTTTCCATCACAGGTATTTTGGAGCTCTCTCCATATTCAACATATAAACCTAGTTTTTAAGTAGCTGACTGGTGTTTCATAGTATGGATGTTCCCAAAATATTACACTCCTGTTAAAGAATATTTAGAGCTAGGCATGACAGTGCACACTTATAATCCCAGCACTGAGGAGGCAGAGGCAAATGATCATCAATTCAGAGTCGGCCTGGATTATATAAGACTCAAAATATAGGGCTGAAGAGGTGGCTCAGAGGTTAAGAACACTGAGTGCTCTTCCAGAGGTCCTGAGTTCAATTCCCAGCAACCACATGGTGGCTCACAACCATCCGTAATGAGATCTGGTGCCCTCTTCTGGTGTGCACATATACATGGAAGCAAAATGTTGTATACATAATAAAATCTTTTTTTAAAAAAAGAATAAGTAGATATCAAAAAATTTAAAACAGTGGGCTAGAGAGATGGCTCAGCATAAGAGCACCCACGTGTCTTCCAGAGGACCTGGATTTAATTCCCAGCACCCACATGGCAGCTCATAACTGTAACTCCAGTTTCAGGGGACCTGGCAGACACACACATTCAGGCAAAACAATGCGTGTGAAATAAAAACTCATTTTTTTAAAAAGCTTGGCATGGTGTCACATGTCTTTAGTCAGAGCACAGGGGAGGCAGGCAAGTAGATCTCTGTGAGTTTGAGGCCAGCCTGATCTACATAGAAAGTTCCAGGACAGCTAGGGCTACACAGAGAAACCTTGTCTCAAAAAATTTTAATGGCCTTTAAGTTGTTTCTGTTCTTTATTGTTTTGTTGTTGTTGTTTATAGAAATAGCACATGCTTGGCAAAGTGAGGAGTATGACTTTAATCCCAGCACTCAGGAGGCACAGGCAGGCAGATCTCTGTGAGTTCAAGGCCAGCCTGGTCTTCAGAGTGAGTTCCAGGACAGCCAGGACTGTTACACAGTCCTATCTTGAAAAACAAAACAAAAATAGCACATGCTCTTCATGAAAAAAATGACTAATATTTAAAATATAACTAAAACAAAAATCCCTCATTATGATGACTCCCTGAGATAGTGATAAAATGTGTGAGATGTTTTAAGCATCATTAGGAACCTACGGCTATAATCCAAGTCATCTAACAAAGGACCATCTCTCTATAATGATAAAGTAGGATTACCTGATAGACCTGGAAGACTGTATCAGGAGTTTCACAAGTTGAAGACCAGCTTTGACTACACAGAAAGACTGTCTCAAAAATAAATATTGGAGCTAGAGGAATGGCTCAGGGCTTAAGAGTATTCACTGCTCTTCCAGAGGGCCAGGGTTGGGTTCCTAGAATCATCATGGCTTGTCACAAACATCTGTAACTCCAGTTCTAGTGTTTCTGACCACCTCTTCTAATCTCAGGGACTGCACATACACATACATGAAGACAAACACTCATACACACTAAAGAAGTCTTTTAAAAAGTTAAATGCAAAAACTAAGCTCCCATTACACATTTTATAACCACTGCAAGAAGCCCAATATCCTGATACTTTTGAAATATTCTTATTTTTGAACACTTTTAAAGAAACAGACCTTTAAAGTATGCTTTTAAAAGTGCAACTCCTAACCTTTTCCTATTAATGCAGAATGGCCATTAAAGAGGAGACTTTAAAATCCCATTTACCTTCCTGTAATACTCTGAGAAAAAAATATTCTAAAATGTCCTGTACTAAAGGGGGAATATAGCAGAAGGTGTAAGAGTGTGGGTTCTGTAGGCCCAAAGGTGAATGTCAGTTTCGTAATTCCTTGCCATGTGACTCCAGCCATGTCACTTGCCACATTATGCTTCAGTGTCCTCCTCTGTAAAATAAAAGCACAATAGCATTTGTGTCATATAGTCTTTATAAGCATGAAGTGAATCAATCTAGAGATAACATGTCCCCAGTGTTCATGTAATGGCAGCAGCAGCCCTTAACACATAAGGGACAGCACTGCATAAAGGCACTGGTTCTGAAGCTCAGTAGCCTTTAACAAGTTATGTTTCTCTTAATTGGGTTGTTCAAAAAGTTAATAGTTAGAAAGTGCTGGAGTAGCCAATACATACCATGATATCAGACTTCATTAAATAAATTGTCTTATATACAGAAATATGTCCCACCAAGCTCCATGTCTTAGTTCTCTTCTTTGGTCATTGTCACCCCACTGTTCTATTTCACTGACAATCTTATATTGACAGCCTGGTTCTGCTGCTCCCCTAGATCCTATCTAGCAAGCTGCCTCAGAAGGGCCAACCCAACAGAGGTCTCCATGGATTTATGCCTGAAGACATCAAAAAGGAGGCAGTCCGGGCTTCTAAGAAGGTTAGAAGTTCTTGAAATGAGGACCTTGGGGTAGGCCTCTTCTCATACATGTTTCAGAATCCATATGTCTGTCTGTGTGTCCATCTGTCTGTTTCTGGGAGTCAAACCCAGGGCTGGGGTATGATAAGCAAGCACTCTACCACTGAGCTATCCCCCTAGCCCCCAGTCCTTCCCTTACATCCCATCTCTTCTGGACTGTTTCCTAAGTAAAGAAAGGAAGCAACATCCTGAGAAAAAGAAAATTCAGTGCTTCTTGAAGTTGAACTCTAGGGTGCCCTGCACCACTAAGGGAAAGGAGAAAGCTGCTGCTTCCCAGAATTTCCAGTCTGTAGAAAGAACCACAACCTCTGTTTGTCTTTCTCGGGTCGCACAACGTTTTCTGGAATCTCATTTGCAGATGTGCTTTGTGTGCAAGAAAAAAGGAGCTGCTATCAAATGCCAGAATGATCAGTGCGTCAAAAACTTCCATCTGCCTTGTGGCCAAGAAAGGGGTTGCCTTTCACAATTTTTTGGAGAGTACAAGTGAGTGAGGAAGGAGACAGTTGGATGCCCTTTTGTAGCCTGTTGTTTAGACAGCACTGAGATCAGAATCCAGTTCTCACAAGATGGTGTTGATTCTCCAACAAATCTGTCCCTCCACTTAATAATGAGAAACAGTGCCTTGACTTGGAAGTTTCACAGGGGTTTCTTTTTGCTTCCTGTCCCCTCCTTAAATTACAAACAGCTGGGGTTCTTAGACAGCTGCTCATAACTAAATAGGGCTCTCAGTAATGGGAAACTATGGAGACAGTACTTCAAGCTTTGCTCACTGGATGAGCAGCCATGAGAAATCATGCAGCGGTTCTTCACCTGCTTTTTGGAGGGGTATAGTTGTTCACTGGGCACCAAGCAAATAGCTGATTGCCCTTCCTAGGTTAGGCAGCTGGGAATCTGTATTAGTGACAAGCCAGAAACCAAGTCTGTTTACCCACCACAGATCATATTGCGGAAAACATCGCCCAACACAGGACATCCAACAGGGGAGTCAGAGGGAGGAAAGCTGTGTCTTGTGTTGCGAAGACTTATCCCAAACAAGTGTTGAGAATATCCGGAGCCCATGTTGTAGTCAAGCTATCTATCACCGAAAGTGTATCCAGGTGGGCTTTCTCTGCTCTGGGGGGACCTTCCATTATTGCCTTGGCCCTATGCTTGGAACCAAGGCAACCTGGGAATGCTCAGGCATGTCTAAGCTTCAGAACAGCACACTACAGGCCTGTATACATGAACTGCTTCCAGGTCAGTGAGGGAATAGTCAACCCAGTCTCTGTTATCCTTGGCCTAGGGCCTCATTTACAATAAAAAACGAGGCAAAGTCATCAGGATTGCCAAAAACAATCGGGTATTTCCAAGAATGAGTCAAGGAGCTCAAAACCAGCTTCACTACTGGGATGAAAGGAAAAGGAATCCAAGTACCTGACTCCTGCTGAGTCAGCACTGCCAGGCCCCATAGGCAGAGATGACAACAGAAGCACTCCTGGGAATGTGCTAAAAGCATTCTGGTCACAGGTCTGATACCTGGTGGCAGCCTTCATCCTAGTACACCCAAAATGGCTTTTCTGAACTCCCAAGGTGAGGATGGGAGTGGGAAGGGGGCCTGAGTGTTTTCATTAATGCATTCTTCTCTTACAGAAATATGCCCACACGTCAGCAAAGCACTTCTTCAAGTGCCCCCAGTGCAACAACCGAGAGGAGTTTCCACAAGAGATGCTGAGGATGGGGATTCACATTCCAGACAGGTAGTGGGAAGTCTGTACAGCAGGAACTGGGCCAGGGAGTGGGTTGTGTGGACCTCTAGACAGGGTGAGTGTGCAGATAGCTCAGGTGCTGGTGTACAGGGAAGTGAGACGGGAGCTTGTCAGTCACCAGGAAAAGAGGGGAAGTGGGCAGGAGGCATATCCCTGAAAAAGCGCTCTAAAACAAAACAGAGATCTCTGGGGATGGGGAGTTTGAACTCCAGGGTGGAACTAAGGAACCCCCACATTCCACTCTCGTTGCATCAGTCCTCTTCTCCCAGCCAGACTGCTTGCCCAGCCTTGTAGGCAGTGCTTGGGCAGCCTTTGAACTCTTGCTGTGCTTAGCGTGGATTCCTCCTAGTAGACAAAGGTTCACCAGAAGATCATGTGTCCCTTACATCTCCTTTTCCCCCTGCAGAGATGCTGCCTGGGAACTGGAGCCAGGGGCTTTCTCAGAGCTGTATCAACGCTATCAGCATTGCGATGCCCCCATCTGTCTGTACGAACAAGGCAGAGACAGCTTTGAGGATGAAGGGTAGGAAGAAGCTCCTGGGCAGTACCATCTTAGATCTTGGCACTGTTATTAAAGCAGGAAGTCTGCTCTTTTCCACAACCCTCTGGATGAACCCAGTTGCCAAGTCCTTTTTTTGACCAGCCCTTGACTTATTCATGCACAAATGGGAAAGTCTCCCGTGCAGGGTCTGCTATTTGTGCCCAATGGAGAGATTCTCAGGGTCAGTTCCTTCCAAATTCATCCTTCCAGGGGATGTGCCCACTTGTCACCCCTTAGAATCAACACTCAGCATCCCAGAGCCATGGAGTGTAATAAATGTGTATAGTAAAATTAAATTAATTTTAAATGCCCTTGGGGTTGGAGAGATGGCTTAGTGGTTAAGAGCACCAATTGCCCTTCCAAAAGACCCAGACTCTATTCCCACTATCCACAAAGCAGCTCCCAACTGTCTGCAACTCCAGTCTTAGGGGATATGACACTTTCTTGGGCCACCATAGGCATTGTATGCACAGGATACATATACATCCATGCAGGCAAAACACCAATACACAGAAAAATAAAATTCCTAGGAAGTTCACCTCATGGCTGAGGCTGGATGGCAGGTAACATTCAAAAGTGACAGTGGGGGTCCTGATTGACCCTACATCTCTCCATGACTCTTCTGCAGGCGATGGCGCCTCATTCTGTGTGCTACATGTGGATCCCATGGAACCCACCGAGACTGCTCCTCTCTTAGACCCAACAGCAAGAAATGGGAATGTGATGAGTGTTCGCCTGCTTCAACCAAGGGTGAGGCTGGAAGGATGGTCTAGTGTAAGGACTGGGATGGGGATGGAGAGTTGTCATGCCTGGGGATGGAGAAAGCATGTCCCAAAGAGGAGCTTTGGAAGGAAAGTAGCTGGTGAAGGATTTAAGGACCTGTACACAGGAGAAACAAAGGCTGAGTTTGCCTTCCCTTCTCTTTCTTTCATCACAGATTACGTATGTGAAGACTCAAGTGACATCCCCTGCTGCAGCAGTACCTTCCATCCCCAGGAGCATTTCTTCAGGGCCAGCAACCTGGAAGGGAATCCAGACTCTTCCTGGACTGAGTGGCTCCAACCATCCCTATTAGAAAAGCCCGAGTCCTCTGGTGGCAGAAGAAGCCACTCCTGGAGATCCAAAGGAATCAGAATCGCTAAGAACTGCAAAAAGTCCAAGTAACAGCTTCAGAGTAGTTGCTGCCAAGGACAGTGGAGTACAAAACAGCGCTGCTGCATCAGTTTGGAGAGGTAGCACTTTGAAACCATGAGACAAAGGGGGCCAGCAGTGAGATTACTAGCCAAGTGGAGAGGTCTCAGGGGAGGCTGAGAGTAGAACTGACCGAGTCTACATGCCAACAGCTGAGCATAAGGCCACCTCTGTTCTTTCTCCCCAGTTCTTTTCCTCTTTCACCAAGATTCTTCCACCCTAGATGGTTCTCATATGCCTCTTCTTGCTTCACTTGTTATTTGCAAATAAAGTTGTCTCTCCAGTGGTGGCTCCCTATGAATTTGCTCTGGAATCTCTCTAATACTCTAAGGAATCTGGAGGACAGAGTGAAGGAATAAGAGAACTCAGCCTCCTGGTCCCCAAAATGAGTCACTAAACTATGGAATATGGAGCATAGATGTGTTCTTTGGGAAGGGATCAGCTGTAACTGTGAATTCCATGAGTGTAAAGTGTCACCCTCATGCAAATAAGTGCATGCATTCTGGAAAATGAGTCAGCTTAGCAGTCTACTTTGGTCTGAGAACAGACACTTGTGGCCAGGATGGGGTCCCTGGACTCAACATAATATAGGATTGCCATGATTATGTGGGGTAGAAGGTGTCCACTCACTCTAACTAGTGTGATCTTAGCTCTGTAGCTAGAGTGAGCAACTCAAAGCCCCACTGCCTGGTGGCTGGAGCATCTCTGACTAGTGTAACTATGAACTTGCATACCACAACATCCACATTAGGCAAGGCAGCTAGGATGGGAATCTGGCAGAAGGCCTGGGGAGAAACTGAATAGAGCATATCTTACATTATTTGTATGTTTTTAATGATTTCATGGGGCTTGGGTTAGTGGGAGAAACTCAGAGCATTGCCACATACTGAATTCCCAAGGTTTCAATGAGTCATTGTTACTAGCAGTGGAGGACAGTGTTCTTATTTCAAATATTGCTAAATCCTGCAGACTTAGATCCAAGATGTATATGGTGAGTGCCTTCAGATTTGACTTGATTCGATTGAAAGCATAAGCACTGTTGTCACTATCAAAATATACAGAAAAGGAATATGTTCTTTTTAATATGTAAAGGTATATATTTTTAAATCTGTAATACATTCATTTAAATAAAAATCTGTAGTGCCTAGGAGTGCAGCTCACTGGTAGGACACATGCTTACCATGTGCAAGGTCCTGGCATGGTTCACTCTCCAGCACTTACATACTTATGAAAGTCATTAGACTATTAAGTCCTAAAAGGATAATAATGAAAACCACTCTTAACTCACCCTTCTCTATTTCTAGTCCTATTTCCTAAAGGCAACTACTGCCATTTTTAAGCAGTTTCTTGATTTAGTAATATTAAACATTTATTTCTTTTGTTACAATGGGGTTAGCACCTTAGGAAATTCCTATTTTCAATCTCCCATGATAATTTATATTATCATGACTATAATAATGTGATTTACTATTGATCCAGACAATACATCATGTTTTAACTTTTCTTTCCCTAAATTAGTAACCACCCTTCTTTGTTTTCTTTTGGGTTTGGGGTTCTGGGTGGAGAGGATTTGTTTTTGTTTTGAGACTATCTCTATATGTAGTAGCCCTGGCTGGCCTAGCACTTGCTATATAGATAGACCAGGGTAGCCTTGAACACACAGACATCTTCTGTCTCTGTCTCTAGAATGCTGGCAGTAAATGTGTGTACCATCACTGCCTCTTTTATTGCTAACTCTAGATAGTATATCATTGCCAGTTGTACCTCTTTTCTTGAAGGCCTGCCTTCTACAGCCTAGCCTAAGCTGGATGCTCCTGGGCTTTCTGAACAACTGCTATCCTAGGAGCCCCTTTTCTTCATTTTCTATCTCATAGGTTTGCTGGGCAGGACACGTCTTGTTCTGCAGCCCAGGCTGTCCTGGAACTCACGGTAGCCTAGGCTGGCACTGAACTCTCTAGGCTTTCCTCAGCCTCTCAAGTGCTAAAATGATGTATTTGAGCTACCATTACTATTATTTATTTATTTTGAGACAGGCCTTCTCTGTATTGCTTTGCAGCCTGTCCTGGAACTCACTCTGTAGACCAGGCTGGCTTCGAACTCACAGAGGTCTGCCTGCCTCTGCCTCCCTGAGTGCTGGGATTAAAGGCATGCGCCACCCATGCCCAGCTGAGCCACCATTACTTTAGTTGACTTTTTTTTTGTTTTGATTTGGTTTTGGTTTTGGCTTTGGTTTTTGAGACAAAGTTTCGCTGTGTAGCCCTGGCTGTCTTGGAACTCATTCTGTAAACCATGCCTGGAACTCACAAAGATCTGTCTGCCTCTGCCTCCCAAGTGCTAGAATTAAAGGTATGTGCCATCAGTCCCTGGCTGTATTTTACTTTCTTAACCTAGAGTCACTGTAAGTGTTATTGTCTTAGAGATTGGTGTTAGCACCTTTCTGTTTATAAGAATCAATCTGTATAATACTAAAATGCAAGAAACCATCATCTTAACCGAAAATGATGACTCCTCAGCAGAGATCTTGAAACCCTTGCTTTGATTAACCACAGAAATCCACCTGCCTCTGCCTCTGCCTCTGCCTCTGCCTCTGCCTCTGCCTCTGCCTCGAGTGCTGGAATTAAAGGCATGCACCACCACTGCCTGGTCTACCTTGTATATTTTAAATGCTTATTTTCATAACAGATGTGTTTATTAGAACAAATTACTAATAGATGTGCCTATTCAGTTAATGGCTGTCATAACTGAGAACCTGAACAAATGCTTCCTTTGTGAAAGACAGAAATAAACATTTAATGAAATTCTCCAGTGCCCATGCTCCCCTGTGCTTTTTCCCTTTATTGGAGCCAGAAGTGAAGGTCAGAAACCTCCGGGTTTTATTCTGCTTTCCTCCCTGACCAACCTCCTTTCTTGTCAATTCATCTGTTTTTCAAAGTTTTGTCCTCCTCTTCTGCCATTGCCAGTGTTCAGCTCAGACTCACCCCTTTTCCTTCTATCAGTTACCATATATATAAAACACGTGATAGTTTTTGCTTAGGATTGATATCTGTGGCCTTTTGCAAATAGGGTCCTGAACAGCTACATCTCCCACAACACCCCACCCATGGGCATTCTGCCCTGTTCATTTCTGAACTTCTGGACCTCAGGTCCGCAGAGTGGAGAGCCCTAACTTTCATCCTCAGCCTGTTGAACTGAATTCAATGGCCAACTCTTCGTCGCTGCCTTCTCACTTCTGGTCTCTGCTTGCGCCCTTGTAGTATCCTAAAATTGTCCTTTGTCAGTCCTACAATTGTAGGTCTGTCTCTACTGCTGGATTGGAAGCCACTTGCAGTCAGAGACCTGTTTTGTTAGCCGTTCTTCTTGGTTGTGGTGCCCAGCCCAGCCACCTTCCCTGGCAGTTTGCTATCTATCCACACTGGTTCTTGATCATGTTGTTCTGGTATTAAACATCAGAGGGCAGTGTTAGCACGTTGATGAATAAGACTATGAAAAGCTTGCTTCTGTTTGGGGAATTACACAGAATTAATGTGCCTCACTTGTTCTAAACACATTAGTTCAAGTTTATTCATGAGGTGTATCTATGTTAGGGTTAGAGATGAATATTAAAGCTAACAATGACACTACCACTCAGGTCAAATTCTTAAACAAGACTGCTTTTACAGTTCCTCTAGACTCAGAGTGGTCTTCCTAACCCTGGCATGCCTTCCTCCACCATCAACTGGTGATTTCCATTCCCAAGGGATATTTAATATGGTTCTATTGCTCTTCTGCATTGCCTTCTTACCATACACACATGCAGATAGCCACCATCTGTGGCTGATGATCCGGAGACATGGACAGGACAGAGATGCTATGAAATGCCACATCTCCACTGGCCCTGACACAGCTGAGTATCAACACCATCTCCACCACGTGATCCAGGCTGGCAGGAGGTGAATCACAGCATCATGGAGGCCCCCAGATGAAAGAAGACTCCTTTGTGACTAAGCAAGGAAACACCATTTTAAAGGATCAGACATCATGAGGCCCAGATGGAGGAGTGAAGCCTGACAGCCCCTCCCCCTTGACCCTGGATTCTTGACCCTAGCCTTCATGCATGCCTGATAAACAGGAAGGCATCCGCGCCATCAGTGTCCATCCGTCTTAAGTCCATCTGAAACCCGTCTGGGCCATCAAAGCCATCCCTAGCCATCAGGATCAGACTAGAATGGACACCATCCTCAAGGAAACAATCCCCCATTGTGTTCCACTCCTTGGAAATGGTGAATTTGTAAACAGGCTCTTACATTTAGACAGATCCTGCCCTGGCTTTGTGTTGGGGTGTTGTTTTTTCTTCCCTGAACAATGCCCTTTCCATTTGGACCAGCCGTTCACACTATTGTCCTAGACCCTTGGACTACAGGAAACAGCACAGATTGTTATCAGCTGAGGCGGGTGGGGGCGGTGTGCACAATGAGATCATGTCCACAAAGCAAACTGCTGTTCTGACGTGTTATTCTTCTATATCTGTATCTGTGAGAGCAGAGCTGCTTTGACTTCCCAACAGACCAATCTTGACTTCAAGTGTCCCTTTTATTTGAAGGTGGAGAGACACCTGGATTCCGTTCCAGAACTTTTTTTTTTAAAACTCACCTTGGAATCCTGATCAGGTCACAACTTTCTGATGGGCAGATTGTTCCTCTCTGTCCAATGGTATACTCATCGGAAACAGATATCACTGTTGCACTAGAAACTTTGAGCCTATTCCTCCCTGCATTCCCTTGGCAGCAGAGCTCCTGGGAATAGGCTACCAGCTGGCTGGAGGCCTATGGGAAGAAAGCCCAGCAGCCCTTAGAAGCCCCTGGAGACTTTGCAACAGTTCTTACCCCTGGTGGAGAATGATTGAGGAACTAGAAATTTCCTTAATGGAACTCCAGCGGAGAAAGTGAAAGGCTTCATTATAAGGCAGCCTTGGAGGAAAGGGGGGCAAGGTGAATAGGCTGGGCAGGGGCAGATGGGCACCAGGCCATTGCTGCCTTCCTCATCTCTAGTACACCAGAGAGGAAGGTGAGTCCAGAAAAGGAGCCAGGAGGGACCCCAAGCTTCTTATCAGATATTGCGTCCAAATCTGGCCCTGCCTAATCCTTTCTCTCCAAGTTTGTAGTTTAGGAAAACAGAGATTGGTTTCTGTTGTGTAGTCAAGCTTCTCCTCATGGAGCGCCCTACTCCCTGCAGCGCAGGACATAGTGAGACTAGGCTGAGTCATTATTTTGATGAAAATTAGACTATTTCTGAGTATCTGTCTCCTAGTTTTTTAAAAAAAATAGTGCTCAGGCAGTGGTGGCACATACTTTTAATTCCTGCACTCTGGAGGCAGAACAGGTGGATGGATCACTGTTAGTTTGAGGCTAGCCTGATCTACAGAATGAGTTCCAGGACAGCCAGAACTATAGTTTTGGGGAGTGGGGGGAAGTGCTACATCGAGAAGCCTCCATTTCCTGGGCTGACAGAGGCATGTGAGCTGGTCTTCCAGGGAGCCAGGCTGAGAGGGGACTGTCTTAAAGGAGACAGTCTCCTGGTGCCTGCTGTATGTCCACTTGTCAGATTCTTGGGTGTCTAGACCTATCCTGTCTAGGTTAACCAGATGAAAGAGCAGCACAGAAGCCATTCGAGACAGCAAAGGGGTTGCTCCCTCTTGTTCTGACAAGCTCCCCACCCTCCCTGAGAGATTATTCTGTTCAATTTCAGGACAGACACAGGCTTGAGCTGAAGCAGGCTAAGGGAAGAAGAAAAGGAGCCAGAGCAGGAAAGACCCCAGACCCACAGTTCCTATGCTAGTGGGTTTACAACTCTGCCCATAGGGCAGAAGGTCCTATTTTGGTGAAGGAAGCGGAGACTGACTGACATCTGGGAGTCAGGACCTCCAGTGTTTACCAACTTGGGAGGCAACGATTAACAAATTAATCTCATGTGTAAAGGGAAGGAATTAATCTAATCAGCACTTTTTAAAAAATGTGCTCTTCAGAACATTAGAAATAAGATGTTAGTTAGCAGCCCTGCAAAAATGGAAACAAGAGACAAAAGGCCATGCCACAGTAGGGAGGAGATGGGTGAGAGGTCATTGAAAGAGTCCACAGGGTATACAGCCCCCAGGCCTGGGGCAGCTATGAGCACAGAAATCAGACAGATCATAGAGACAAGGAGGTCATGAAGGGTTTCCTGGGATTGGCAGTTGACAGGACACTGTTTTGGCAACACTTAACTAGTTTCTTTGTCTACATTTCTTTTCAGCTCTAAACCAGTTTGGGAAATCATGAACCAGGGGTCCAGACAGCAGGGGAAGTATGAGCCTCAGAGGAAAAAGCTGCAAGAGAAAGATAGAGAGAAGGTGAAATTACTAAAGCCGGAAATTGGGCTTGAGTTAAGAAGTGGGGGGGGGGGGCGGATGGGAGAAGACTTTGGGAACAGGGGTGGCAGTGACAGCTGGGAGCAGGGGATGCATAGTGTGGCCAAGGGCGGAAGAGGGTTACGGGGGCCACATTTGTACTCTTTGCTGGACCAGTGACAAGTAAGTGCAATGGTGATGTCTCTTAATCAATGGTGATGGCTCGAGGTGGGGCAATGGTGTTTCAGGTTCAATCAAGCCTAGGTGTTTGTAGAGGGCTCCAGAGCCAACCTACAAGATGAGACCAGTGGGTGACCTATTTTATTAATCTCCAAGGGACCTATCCAAGCTAGATGCCACAGCCAGCTTCCTGGGGAGGTAGGCTGCTGTCCCCCTATTTTTGAAGTGTTCTTGTCCGTTTTTTCCATCTCCCCTTAGCATCAGTGTGGTCTATACTTTGGGAAGGATGTCACATGTCACTGGAGCAGTAGCAATCATGGTCATAATGCCTTCTGAGCATGCTCGGTAGCTCACACTCAAGGCTTCCCTTCCTCCCCAGCTGCAGTCTAGCCTGGGCAGGGCATGATCTCATTGGCCTCAATATACATTAGTGTATGGCTTGGAATGAAGGCAGTACCAGACTAAGAGGCACTGTTACAAATGTCAAGAGCTGTGAAAAAGGAGCAGAGCTGCCTGTCTGCCCTTATCAGCTTCTCCTGCCCCCTCAAAATCCTTCTGGAGTTCCGAAAAGGTCAATTTTATAAGCCCTGGGGACAGGATTTTCCTTCTATATTGAGCAATCTTTGCTTTATAGGCAAAGACTGACTCCTTCCACTGTCATACATCGCCCTGTTTGTTAGAAAATGCCACCTAGGCTGACCATTTCCGGGAACACATAGTACTCTTCCTTCCTCATTCGTAGCTCATAGCCATCAGTTGCGTACAAAACCACACAGATACAGTCATGATGTAATTGGGTGGTATAAATATGTTTTCATCATTAATGGGCTCTGCTTTTCCTCATCAGAGCTCAAGGCAACCACAAACAATAAAAATATCAATAGCAATTTCAATAAGTATCCTTGGAAGACTGAGAGGCCAAAAGGACCACTTCAAAATACTAACACAAACACAAATCACACACATGGGTGTTCTCGGGTGCTCGGACCACAGTACCATGAGAGGGTGGCTGTCGGCAGGAGCTGTCCTGTTCCCACATCTAGGGGTACATTGTTGAGGATATTGAGTTCCTTATCCCTGTGTTTTCCAAAGCCACTTCCCCAGAGGGTCCTACCTGGAGAATCCCAAACCTAGACTTGGTCCAAAGGTCACTGAGGGCTAGGCTGCCACTTTCTGTCTTCTCTGGGTCTCCTCTGCCCCATTCATCTCCTCTGTCTCCCCATCCCTTCTTTCCTCCCGCTTCCACCCGTTCCTCTCTCCCTTCATCCACTGATATCCCAAGGGCCACACCCAAAAGCAGAAGGAATCTGGGTTTGGGCTGGTGGATTTCAGGGCTTCTGTTTGCCAAATGAGCAAAGCAGAGAAGGGGGTGCACATTCAGATCCCGGCACCCTAGGGGTGCCAGGCTAGAGGACATAAACCCAAGGTTTGAACTTCAGTAGAATAAGAACCTCTATCTTGCTTTTTCATCTTTTCCCCCACTCTTTTTTTTTTCTTTTTCCTTCTTTTCAAAGAAGAAATCTCAGACTTGCCCTCTTGTCTGTCTTGTGCGTCACTAACTTGTTCACCCTCGGGCTGGGAATAACATTTCATTTAATTGTCCTCCTCCCCCACTCTGCTCCCCAGCTGCAGAGACTGCTGATGGCAAAGCTCCTCCCTACAGTCTGAGCCAGATGTGCCCTTGACACCAGCTTTCTTTTCCACAACCTCCCATTAGAAAGAAAGAGGGAGAGTGCTGGGATGTAACTCAGCGGTAGAGCACTTGTTTAGCAAGCATGAGACTGGGTTGGATCCCAAGTACCACCAAAAACATGGGAGTCTTACAAATGAACCATCATGACCGCCCTGTGTAGAGCAGAAAATACAGACTACAGGCTGGAAATATCTGGCCTATCTAGTGTCACTTTGATTCTTGAGAGGACACCTGTCATGGACCCATGGACCTACCCCTCTCTAGTTCCTTGTGGCCCTAGACTAAGCCCAGGGTGCTGACCCTGACCACAGGCTGCAGTTCTCAGAGAGCCCACTTCTAACCTCACAAGCCTGAGTGTGCCACCTCCCCCTTAGAAAGGCAGCCCCTTCCTGCTCCCATCCAGCAGCTGCTTTCTTCCTCTCTCCACCCCACAGGCCCTCCTTCTGATCCTCAGGAAGTGACCCTGATGGTGAGGTGTCATATTGTGAAACAACTCTTCCTGGTGTGAAAGGGGAGCCAGGCCACCTCCAGGTTCCAGCTCTTTCTGCCTCTGTAAGTATGAGATGGTGGTGGGCTGAGGCAGGGAAACATCGAGATACCAAAGCATGGAAGCAGATGAACAGGGCTCCCCTGCCTCCTCACGCTGCCACCTTCTTTCATACCTCTGTTAGAACAAGTGTTTGTTCACAGATGCCAGCTCACAGGGCCACTTCCCCCACCTCTGGTGGACGGCTAGTATGTCTTCTCAGAGTCACCCATACACCCACTCAGAATGGCCATTGTTCTGCAAGCTGAGAAAGAACCACCCAACACTCCTGCCTCTGGGCACAACCGGAAATGTGCTCCGGAAGCCACACCATCTCTGAGAACAAATAGCAGGCAGGCCCCTTGGGACTACAAGTGGTCAGGGGGTGCCAGCTCCAGCCTGGGGCTGAGAGCACAGAGAGGGACAGGGTACGCTGAGGTGCATGGCCCCTCCTACCAACCTCTAGTCTTTCATGTAGTCAGTAGAGATTTCCATCTCTAAGAGGTAACTAGGTGCCCTGGCCTCCTCTGCCCTTGCTGGGTGGGAAGGAGATGCTGTTGAGTCCCCCAGTCCTGCCTGACCACCCCCTCTTCAGCCATCTTCTATGTGGCTTCCACCTCCCGGGGTGTTCGATTGTGCTCAGCCAGCACCCGGCTCTTCACCTTCTTGCCCAACTCTAGCCCTGCCCAGCTCTTGCCCTTAGCCTGCTTTCCCCTGCCCCGGAAGGAGCCCAAGCGCTCCCCAACCCCCCTACACCATACACGCTCACAGTACTCATCCACACGGGGCAGGTTGGCGAAACCAGCGAGCTGAAGGATGTCCTTATACCAAGTCTTGGGTGAGGCAGAAGCCAGGCCTCTCCAGGCTGAGGGCTCCTCTAGCCTTGGCTCCCGAAGGATCATGTCCAGCTGCATGGCTGCAATCACCTCCAGGGAAAACCGAACTACAGTCTGGGAGAAGCCGTGCTCCAGTGTGGTGCAGGTATAGTTTCCTGCATCAAGGCGGCTGAGCCTCCGGAACAGCAGTCCCTGCTCTGTTTGCACAACTCGCTCATCTGTCTTCACCTACAGGATGCGTAGGAGGACACAGGAGACATGAGCAAGAAGTGGGGAGGACAGTCACCTCATTTTCTTTCCCACATTTACCCTCCTTGGGGTCCAAGCCTTGGGCTCTCCCTTTTGCCTATTCCCTCCTCCCCAAGATGGGCCTAGTAGCATGACAGGATCTCAAGGCAAACCATGAGCTAATTGCAGGCAGGCAGGCCCTCATCTTCCCACAGCATAGGATAAGGACCTATGAAGGAGGCTTCTCCAATACCGAATGGCTGTGTGTCCCCAGATCAGAGCACTAAGGCACCAGCTTCATAAACTCTGCAGGATCACCCAGGAAGCAGAGGAGTTAGGTGCATGTCTAATGAGGTTTTACACTGAGCTAAGGAAAATTCTACAAACACATATGTTCATTCACACACGCACACACACACACACACACACACACACACACACACACACACATACAGAGTGATGCTGGCCTTTTCCTGTCTTGGTCTGTCCTATTCACTCCCTCACAGTGTGAGGCCCACAGCCCAAGCCTGGGGTGGGCTAAGTGCCCACTTGTGTGTGGGAGGCAAGAGCTGGCTCTGATCCCAAGCTCTTCCACTAACCCTGTTTGGGCTTAGGTCTGTGCATCTGAGAGCCGAGGGTGAACTGCCTGGGTGGTTAGCATTGTGTAACTTCATCTTGTTGCTCCCCCTACTCCAGGGAGTCTCCTCAGTGCCCAACCCTGCAGCTGGTCCCAGGCTTGCCCTCTCTAGCTCCCAAGCTGGAGGAAGAGGCCCTCCTGTAATCACACCCCTCCTTTTCTTTCCCTCCCCATGGGAAATCCCTTCCCGACTCTGCTCTGCCCACAGCCCAGACTGAAGCCATCTTGGGGGTTGATAGACCTTCCCAGTCACGGGGAGAAGAGGGCTTGGGCAGACAACTGGCTTCTGAGGAAGAAGCATAGGGCTAGTAATAGGAAGTAATGTAGTGATCAGGGACCAGGCTTAAGGCAGAGAAAAACTAAGAAACTCTGGGGAAGAGATCTCTTCAAAGCTGAGCCATATGTGTTAGCAAGAGAATTTCCAGACCAACTTAGACCCCATTCCCTCTCTTTAACCTCTGCCACTCCCCTCACATACTAAAGAGTGTAGCTACATCTGGCCTAGGCATTCCCAGAAGCAGAAATATGGGCAGGTCCTCATAGGTAGCCAGGGTATAATTTTTCTCAGGATGATCTTTGGCAGTTCATCCCAGAGTCTCTTTCTAGAGCTTAGGGTTTGGGGGTGCAGGGAGAGAAATGGATCTCAAGGCAGAGTATTCACTCACCTGGTCAATGCCCTCATCCCCTGGCCTCTGTAAGAACCAGCGCACTGCAGCTTGGGGAGACTTGGGCAGACACTCAAGGAAGGTGCTGTTGTGCTCTGTGCCAAAGACTCTGATCACCAGTCCTGAAGATTCCTCTGTAGAGAGGGCTAGGTCAGATCAGCTTGGGAACTCGGGGACCCAGGCTCTGAGGGCCACAAACTAACTCCCAAAGGATACCCATGTGATGAGGACTTAGCCATCCATCAATCACAAACCACTCTCAGAGATAGAAGATACTGCCCTAAAGCCCCGAGTGTAGCTGATTAGATAGGGAAACTGGATACCTTATTACCATAAGACTTTTCTAAGCCCATGCTTCCCAAGGATGGAGCCCAGTCCACAGGCTGACCCACATCCCTAGCCCACAACTCACTGTCTTGGCCCTGGCCTTGGTCCTGGCCCAGACACTGCAGAGCAGGGTTGCCATGTCGGATGTCCTGCCTACGGAACCGGCGCTTGCCCAAGCTGGGGCGGTAGCGGGTACAGGAAGCACCATCCCAAGCACAGTATGGGTCCCGGGCCAGGCAGCACTCTGCACAGGCACTGCCGTAAGTCTCACACTGGTGCAGTTGCAGCCGGGCCACGCCCAGCGGAGAGCCCACGTACAGTGTTTGCTGGGGAAGGAACACAGACAGAGCCACGGTGAGCTGGGCTTCACCAACAGGCTCCCAAGCTCCAGATTTTCCCGAGACCCGTCAGTTTCAGGGAGGTTTCCAGAACCTCTTGGATTCATTCACAAGACTAGAGATGCTGAATGTATTCCAGATCCTGTACTAGGCTGTGAGTAGGTAGGAGTAGCCCCGGGGAGACTTCTTCAGGCCCTCTTTGTTGTCGGCCTTTGCACCCTAGCCTAAGGGACTTTATGTCATTGGCCTCTGACTCCAGAATTGTGCCTTTTGACGTTGTGATATGACCCTGTCATCTGCAAAGTTCATGTCTGAGCAACTGAGTTATCAAAAACAAACGGGGGGGGGACGATGACACCAACTCATGTTTTGAGTAAGTTTATGATTTTGTGTTAGGCCTCACTCATAGCTGTCCTCAGCCCCATGTAGCCAGTAGGATGTAGATTGGAGGAGTCTACAGTAATCCCTGTATAAAAGCTAAGATTTGGACCAGTGAGATGGCTCTGCATGTAAAGGTATTAGCCACCTAACCTGACAATCTGAGTTTGCGCCCCCAGGTCCCATATGGTAAAAGGAAAGAATCTGCTTCCACAACTGTTCTCTGATCTCCACACTCCATTTGCCAGGAGAACATTTAGGGCCCTATAGACTCAGCCACTTGCTCAGTGCAACTTGAGCATGGCAGGATATTTTTTAAAAATTTAAAATATTGGGATTTGCTCCCAGAGACTAGGGAGATAGCTCAGTCAATCAATCAGGTGCTTGAGCACAAGGATCTGGGCTCAGTCTTCAGAAACTACATGATAAAAAAAAAAGGCTGGATATGGTGGCCCCACTTGCAATTCCAGAATTCCAGGTTAGAGAAGCAGAGACATGTGGCTTTAGGGCTTGCTGGCCAGCCACTCTAGCCTAATCGGCGAGCTTTAGACCAATGAGTCTGTCTCAAAGAAAGGTGAGCAGCACTCGAGGAATGACACCTGAGGAGGCAAGCAGGCAGGCAGGCAGGCAGGCTAGCATGCTCACACACACACTGTAAACAAGAATTTTTAAGCTGTGATTTACCTAAAGACAAACTGGGACAAAAAGCATTTGCAATTGGTTAGGCACCTACAGCAGGACACTAAAAGGAGTAACCTTGTTCCATTAGAAATCTGGATTTTTCTTTCCAAGCCCGTTTGTGTCCCTGAGAGGCTCCCACGGGGCTTTTGTGGCTTTATCTGAACACATGAAGCTCTGCTCCCAGCTGGACTTGGCCTTAGCTGCAAGACCTAATCAAATCTGATAGGCCCAGCTCTCCAATAGAATCCAAGGCAAGTTTAGGAGCAGGGGTATAGGGAAGGGGTGGGCCTTACCCTTTTGACAGAGATCTCCATCTGGGTGATGGGTGTTGGCACCTAGAGAAGGGATAGGGTCTTAGGATGGATTGGTGAAGGCTATGTACAGAATCCTTGCTTTCATCATTCCCCAAGCCCTGTGTAGGAGCCAGTTGCCCACACCCGCAACCTGATCTCTGTACCTCCTGGCAGCAAAGGATGGATGGGCTTGGGAAAAGGTGGTGCTTTAATCTTAGCTCCTGAGCAGCCAAGGTAGGAAGATGGAGAGGTCAAAGTCAGCTCACTCTATATAATAAGTCACAGTCTAAGTTGAGCTACATAGAGAAACATGGTCTCAAAAATACAAACACTGGGTATGGTAGCACAGACCTTTATCCCCAGAGCTCAGGAGGCAGAGGCAGGTAGATTTCTCTGAGTTTGAGTCCATCCTAGTCTACATAGTGTGTTCTAGGCCAGCTAAGAATATATAGCAAGATATATGCATATACCTTGCTCAAACAAACAAAAACAGCTGGATCATCTTTCCCTGATACCCAGAAAGATCCCCTCATGCTGGCTGGCCACCAGGCCAAGTGGGAGGCTTGGCACAGAGTTCCACTGTCCCCTCCCACAATGTTCCCAGCCATGGACCAGCAGCCCTAAATCATTTACCTCATATCCAGAGGCAAAATAGCCCCCCAAACAGAGACAATCCCTGTCCAGATATAAGGTGGGGAGGAAAACTCTTGGGGACTTGGAGTCTCAGCTGCTTTGTCACTGCAAGTTAAGCCTTATACTAGGCTTTGTCAAAGGTGCTCACCATGGCACTCCCTCCCCAGAAAGCACCAGGCATTTGAGTCCACACTCTGCTACCTTAGCTCCCCCAGTAATTCAGAAGCACCCCAGAGGCTCTTCAGTGTGTGTGCACCATAATTTGAGCCTATCTCCTCGGTTCACTCCCCTGGAGCCTACCCCAGGCCCAGGAATGAGGGTGGAACCTCTCATTATCCCCTGCTCACCTTAAACACCTGGAGCTCCTCCAGAACTACCTCTTCAGACTCAGCCATGCCACTCACATGGAGGGCAATGACTTTGAGCACAGAACCTGAATCTGGAGCAGGGTAACAAGGGTTAATGAAATAAGAAGGAAGGAGCTACCCTTCCCCACAAACCTGGGGGGCTACTTCTGTTCTGCCCTCCTACCAGTCCCTAGGAAGATGACATCATAGGTCCCATCCTCAGCCTCAACTCGGTCCACCACAATCTGGCGCAGCTGCTGAGCCAAGTGAGTTTTGACCAGGACAGGGCGGCCACGCCTAGGCCTCACAGGCTGGAACATGAGTGGGTGGTCTCGGACAAACTGTAGCACCTCATCCGGGTAGTCCTTGGTGCTGCCAAAGGGTCGCCCTGGCTGTGCAGTCATCTTGCTAGGGCACTGCAAGCAGCAACAAAGGGGGCACTTGAAATCCCTAGGCTGGCACTGCCAGGCCTCTTTCTACCTCCAGGGAGCCATGAGCATAGCAGAGGCTCTCCTTCCAAGCCCCCCTGGAGGCCCAGCCCATCACTGCCATGGGATGACTGTAAACCTGAAGCTTTTCTATAGAGGAGTCCCCCCCCCACACACACACCCATCATCTACTTAGGGTTCCTTTGCCTGGTCCTAAGCAGCTACTTACCACACCAGGACGGGGGAAGGGCACCTTGCCCCCATAAGGTTCCCACTGATGCTGAGGGCCATCTCGGTGGGCAAAGGGCCCATTGAAGACCTCCCAGATGTCTACCATGTGGTACACACAGACGGCAAAGCCCTGGAACACAGCACTGCCAAAGACAAACAGGGACAGTCAGGCCAGGCCAAGGTGGTTGGAGTTGACAAAAGCTAGCTCAATAGGTGATAAAGAAGACGACAGTGTCTGCTGAAGACCAAGACTGGAACGCAGGACACAGACACAGAGACAAGACAGAGACATGTTGAGAAAATAGTCACAGCATCGCCAAAACAGGGAGAAAGACAACGGAAAGGCTGTGCCATGAGAGCAGAGGCTCAACAGAGACCAGGCTGGGGTGGCTTGGTGCAGGAAGCAAAGCGTGCCCACCTGACAGTGCTGAACAGTGCATACACCTCAAGGCTCTTCCCTGCCTTGGGCCACAGCAGGAACACATCCTCTGGGTCACAGAAAGAGGCATTGGCATTACATCGACTGCCAGTGCTCTGACGAACCCTCTCTGAGCCCTCCCTACTCCCAGAACCCAGCTCTGGTTGGCCATCCTCTTACCCAGCTGGTCAAAGTGAGTCTCAGCCCCACCAGGGCCAGGCACAGAGCATACCAGCCTGGCCTTGAGGAAGGTACTCCATTTGTTCACCAGCACCCGCTGGCCACCAGCATCATTCTGGGGGATGGGAAGTTGAAGTTGGCTTCAAGCCCCATGAGGGTGGGCCCCCCTCCTGTTCTTCCACCCCAACCACGGGGAGAGGTATGGATGTCAGCACTCAGTTTCCCTAATGTGGAGAGACAGTCTAGGAAAGAAGTCTCAACAGGGGTTTTGAACCTCACCATCCCACCACAGTTCTTACCACACAGACTCGGCCCACACGGCTGATGGTGACATGACCTGGGCCACCATCTGGTGATGGGACAGTCTCAGAGAAGAAGAAGTACACCTTGTCATCATCCGGGTCAGAGTTATCTGGGATCCTAGCAGCCATCACAAACCGGGGGTCTGGGAGAGTGACAGGTAATAATGTGACAAGCGAAGCCACATGCCTCCCTCACCCCAGGAGCTGAAGGTGTGGCCTGTCCATTGTGTCACATTCTAACTATCTTCTATCATCCTAGTTAGAGGGATGGGTCCCAGGCAGCCTTGTCCTCAGGGGGCCTTACCATGTAGGAGGCTCTGGTCAGAGTCAGAACGCAGGGCTGCTCTGGGACCCCCACTCCGGAAAATCATGGCCTCACGTCCCAGGAAATCAGCAGTGAGGCCTGTGTACAGCTCCGCACCTAGAAGGTACCAGAGTGAGGAGAGAGGGCCAGGTCTAGCAACCAGCTCATCCCTCTCCAGTACCATAGGCCAACTCTCACCCTCCTGGTCCACTCTAGCTTAGTATTACCTGCAGTCTGCAGGCACCATCATTGTAATGGAGAATGCAGGAACGGCTCCCTACAATTACCCACCTACAAAGGTGCTGGCGAAGGGACGGCTTGGCTCGTGTGGGCAACGTCCCCTTCCATTTTCCACAGTGCTGGACTCCTGGTGGAGTACATGCTAGAAGTAGGAAAAGGACACACAAGGGTGTCACCTGGGAAAGAAGCAGGGCCTCATCCCAGGCAGTGACCTTTGCGTGCAACTGGGGCACAGGGTTGGGGGTAGAGGGAGAAATCCTCATTCAAGGCCTCTCTGATGGGGTCAACACCCCAGCACAAAGGCTCCTTTCAAGCCCCTACCCCCTCTGTCCTACCCTGGTTCAATGGGAAGCGTTCAGACAGCCTGGGGTGGGGGTGGGGGATGTCACTGCTTCCCAATGTCTCATGGGGCCAGGCCCAGGCTCACCTCCCCTCGATGCCCCACTGTGATGAGGGTGCAGATGGGCTGGAAGGCTCCAGTGCCGCAGGCCAGCAGGTGGGTTCGGTTGTGGGGTTGTAAGACCCGCACAAAGTTGGCACACTCTGTCTGCAGGAGAAAGGAGGGGCCCAAAGATGAAGGAGGGAGACGTGCACCATGTCCTTGGGTTCTAAGGCTCAGCCCTGCTTCATAGCTGCTCTGAGGACATTGGTGAAGGTCACATTCTTCCCAGACCTCCCCAAACACTCAGGATCTTCTCCAAATGCTCCAAGCAGGGGTACCAGGGGAGTGGCTGCAGGCCATTTTGAGAAACAAGGCCTGGTATTGAGTAGGCTGCAGAAGTTCTTGTCAACAACACTTACCAAGGGGTCTCTTCCCTTTCGGACACATTCTGCCTTCTGTCCTGGCTGTGGCAGCCACAAAACCTAAAACGTAGCCAGTGCCTCAATGTCCTTAAACTCATAGTCTCAAGTTCTCCATCTGGAGGTGCCCCACTTTCACCCCCATCAGTCCTGCTCACCTCTCGGGGGTCTGGCCATGCCTGATCCAACCTCAGAGAGTAGAGGGCATCACGGCCTCCCAGAAAGAGGCGATCCCGATACTCATCCAGGTACATGACTTGGAGGTCTAGGGAGCCCCGTGGGCCAAGAAAGATGGCAGAGCGGTTGGCAGACAGGAGATCTAGCAGAGATCGAGGGAAGAGGGTTAGGGACTGCTACTCAGCCTGCATCCCCAGTCAGGTCTCGGGAATGGGGGTCCCAGCTATGCACTCATCACACACGTACTTCTGGGCAATGTTGCCATGGTGGAAGGCTTTCTGGACATAGTTCTTGGGATAAGTAGCGCTCTCAGTCCCCACCCAATCTAGCCCAGTTTACCTTTTTTTTTTTTTTTTTTTTTTTGAAATGGTCCTGGAGATTAGACTTAGGACTGCCTTCCATCATGCTCAGCACCCAAGCACTCTGCCACCAAGCAAATTCCCAATAAGCCTCCATACTCCATTCTCTAGACCCTTCATCTTTCAGCTGATAGCTTCCCAGAATCCTACCTGTTCCTTGCTAAGTGCCCAGGGAAGTCAGCCCCACCAACAGAAATTATGTTGGCAAGTCTGGCAAAGAACTTGGAGAGCCAGGAAGAAGGTGGAAGAGTGTGAACACTTGCAAGTCTGGCTCCACTGGGAAGGTAGACAGGCCCGGACAGAGGGAACACCACAGCACAGGGCAGATTAGCAGATTAGGTACCACCAGACAGAACTCCAGCCTCAGAATTGTGGGCAAATAACATTATCCCTTGTAGACACGGCCCTGCCAGCTGACCCCAGAGGTGGGGGCATCAAGGGCCCCAAGTTGTAGGTCTTGATATAGTTCCTTGGGGAGGTGGAAGTGATGCCTCCGCAAAGGACTAGCAGATTTTCACTCTGGGAAGGTCCAGAGCCCTTTACCTAGAGCTCCTCATGCACTCCACTCCATCTCCAAACTCATTAGTGGCCTCTTCAGGAAGCCCTCCTTGGCTGATAGAGACTCTGAAACTTCCCTCTTGCAGGCCATGTCTAACAGCCTGATCTCCCCTCAGCACCACAACTCCTGAAACAAGGACACCTTTCCCTCTTGGTCTCCACAGCAAGCTTGAACCTTTCGCCTTCTAACTGAGCTCTCCAGGGGGAAGGTGACTCTTCTCCCCAAGAGTCTGCAGGGCTGGGGAGATGGCTCAGCAGGTTAAGACACTTGCTGCCAAACCTGCCGACCTGAGTTTGATCCTCAGGGCATTACATGGTGGAAGGAGAAAATCAATTCCTACAACTGGTCTTGTGACCTCCACACATGTGCAACATGCTCTCTAGCACATGTGCGCCTAGACAACACGTTCTCTCTCACCCCCCCTTTCAAAATAAATGAGCACAATACATTTTCTGTTGAAGCATCTATAATGAAATCTTTGTTTCAATCACCTTTCCCCATAGACCATCAAAGGACGCAGTACCACACAGCTGGATTAGAATGGAGGACTACCTCTGTGTGTGTGTGTGTGCGCGCGCACACACACACACACACACACACACACACACACACACGCAAACACTGGGTGGCAGAGGGAAGCAGAGACTCTCCTGGGCTATAGATGGAGAAGGGATGATAAAGTGAGCTTGGATGATCAGCCAGGACAGGATGCAAGAGGTGGGAGAGGCTCCTCCCTTCCTTGTGGCTCAGGACTAGGACAGACTTCTACCCACTGCCTTGATGTCTGCCCAGACCCTCTCTACACCCATCTGCCCCTGTCCCACTGTTCCCCTCCCATCTCTGTGCCCACCCTGACGGAGCTCTGTCATGGTTTTCATCTCCCTCTCTTCCCTTGTATCAGCTTCCTCAGTTTCCACCCTGCATCAGTCCCCCACTTTGGTCATGGCTCCCAGGATGTGTCTACCTTTCCTGTCCATGGTCATCCCTAGCACCATCTAGGGGTTGCCCAGGAAGCCTTTCCCAAAGGATGTACAGGTCCTGGCTCTACCCCTGTTGTTGCAGGCTGGCTGAGAGAAGTCCTAGAGCCACAAACATTCACAGGCATTCACAACATGCTCACAAACAGGGCAGCACTGGTCAGTACCTCTGTAGGAGAGCCGCAGACGAGGCACACTGGGGCTGGGACCAGGGCTGGGGCTGCACCCTTGGAGCAGGAGGCTCCCCAGGAGGCAGCAGATGGCCCAAGCCTGCAGGGCCATGCTGGGGAAAAGGATCTGCCCCCTGATCCAGCTGCTGGATGTAGTTTGCGCTGCTGCCACCAGGCTTGCCACTTATAAGGCGGTGGCTCCACCCAACACTGGGCGGGAAAGCAGGGAGGAAGAGGGAAGCAGAAGAATTCCAAGCCTGCCATCTACCTGCAGTTTCTCCAGCCACCTCAGCTGGCCCGCTGAATGCTGGTGTAGCAAGCCAGTCTGTTCCCCTCTTAGGAGACTCTTTCCTAGCTGTGGTGAAGACAGTTTGAATGACACACTCACAGATGCAAGTACCCAGGCTCCAGCAAAGCAGCAAAGGGGCAAGACAACCTGAAAGAGAAGTCAGGGATCAGGTAGGGGTCCGCCTTTGCTCCTGCCTCTCCAAAGACATCCCCATTGCTAGCCCTGGGCCAACCAGGTATTGTCAACATGACTGTCCAGCTCTCCTGCAGTGCCTAAGCTGCTGGGGGTAGAGGGTTCATTTCTAACCCAAGAAGCTCATTCTGGTAGGGGCTTAAAGCCAAACCACACTTCACAGGTATGGCAACAGTAAGAAACAAATGTCTAAGGCAGCAGTTCTCAACCTGTGGTCATGACCCCTTTGGAGTGGAAAAACCCTTTTGCAGGGGTCACCTAAGACCATCAGAAAACAGATATTTGCATTACAATTCACAACAGTAGCGAAATTACAGTTATGAAGTAGCAATGAAAATAATTGTATATTTAGGGTCACAAAATAAGGAACTGTATTAAAGGGTCGCAGCATTAGGAAGGTTGAGAACTACTGGCCTAAGGTCTCCTATTCAGACCTCGCCAGGCTCCACAGCCCCTCTCTGAACCTACGAAGCTCCAGCTCAGCTCAGCAGACTTTTTCTGGGGTGGGAACAAGGTTTATCCGAAGCCCAGGGGACCTTCCATTGTCTTGCTTCCTTCAGGCCCCAGGCATTCAGAGGCCCCTGGGGCCAGAGCACAATGGGTCAGTGGTGAGTTCTTCCTAAGCCCATGGGACCCTACATAGCATGGTTCTGCCAGATTTCACTGTTCTGCCCCAAACTCTGGTGAGGAGTGCATGAAAAGGAGCCAGGGGAAAGATGCAGCAAGGAACTGGATCTGGGTGAGTGGGAACCCCCACCCCACCATTTCAGAGCAGTTTCTGTCCCTGCCACCCCCAGCTCCCACCTCACCCCACCCTGCACCCTCCTTTCTGAATCCACAACCTTCAAAGTTAGAGCTCCCAGAATTCTAGAAATGCCTGTAAAGCGGGCCTCCCAGATGGAGTGGCCTGCACCCTCAGAGGGTGGGCGTCAGGGAATTCATGAGCAGCTGTTCCAAGAGGAGCTTGACTCCAATCACAAAAGCACAGGCTCAGCTCAGCCCTAGGGCCCTCTTTTGCTTCTGGGTCTCCTGGAGGTTGCTGGGGGGGGGACCCTATTCCCATGTAGCCTCTATTTCATCTCTAGAAAGGAACTATGCCTTACAGTTCCACCTTCCTATTCCCCTAGACCCTAGATCATTAATGTGGTAGGGCTTTTTAACTTGGAAGCAGACCAAGGGCTGCATAGAGACACTAGCAACTGGCCCCATCCACCCCTGCCTTGAACTCTGCTGAAGAACCCTAACCAATGCCCTTTACAACCTGAGTCTGACTTCTCCTGAGGCCAAGGGACCAGTCATTGGGATATGAACTTATAAACTGAAGAACGGTGCCTATGCAGGGACTGCTATAGTGGAGTCTATCCTGGAATCGCAGTAGGGTAGAGACATTCTGCCTCTACTTCTCTGGGGAAGCACTGTGGTACCTAGTCCAGGCTGAGGCCCTATATCTTGCTTGAGATTGAGCCAGACAAGCCCTTTAACTGCCATGTGGCTGCAAGCTGAGTATGAGCAGGGTGCCTCCTCAGGCCACCACCCCAGAAGTCTATACTCAGCCAGACCCTAGCTCAGGCGGAGGACAGGGACACTTCACATCACAGCAAGAACCTGTGACAGAGCCTGGAGGCCCATACTCAGCTGTATTAT